AGGGTGAGCGGGCCCAACATGGCGGCTGGTGGATGATGAGGGTGGGCGGCCTCGTCTCGCTGCGCCTTAATTTCCTGCAGATCTTGAGCGCTGGGCTCGCTCCCGGTATCTGCTGCAGATGAGCAGATGCGGGTGAGGTGGAACAGGGTTCAGTGGGCCCATCGCGGGGGATGCGGGGTGGCATTGTGGAACACCGCACAAGTTGGCAGCTTGGGCCCTTGCGGGAGGTGGCGTGTTCTGCAGAGATGGTCCCCGTTGGGGACCCAGCAGGCTGAGTTGATTTGGGGTGTCTCTCGTAGGGGCTCAGCGGACAGGTGGGATGGGGGTCCCTTCCTAATCCTGCCAGTAGTGTAGGATGATGGCTGTAGTGTGCCTGTCGATCGGCATCGGGCGCTTCCCAGAGAGCGCCCAGCACGCGAGGTACGTTGGGAGGCAGCTTCCCAAAGAGAGCACGGATGAGGGGGTCTGTCTCCTTGTACAGCTCTGCTGGAAGGGATGTGCTCGGGGCAGGTCTGAGTATCAATGATGAAGCTTCTCTAACTGCTGCATAAGGCTGAGTGCACTGTGCGGATACCAACCTTGGAGAGCTGAGGACTCAGAGCCGCGCCCCGCTGCTGCAGCCGGCTGGGCTGGTGGCACCCTCTGACCACGCTGCCCTCCATGCAGGTATCTCCCGGGATAACTGGCACAAGCGTCGCAAGACTGGGGGCAAGAGGAAGCCCTACCATAAGAAGAGGAAGTATGAGTTGGGGCGACCTCCCGCCAACACTAAGGTGAGCGATTGGGTGAAGTTGGTCAGAATTGTGTTTTCCAAGTCGAGTTGCTGCTTCTGTGCTGTTTAAACCTATTAGAGGTTTGAATTCTTGCTGTTTGGTGTGGGGTTGAATATCTGACCCTGCTTCTCTAAAAGGTGGTGTTTGTTCCTCTGCCGATACATTTTTGCAATAAAAGGCAATTGGAGTGATGAAGCTTTCACCTTAGGTAGATGCAACAGGCCGTTCTGGTCATTTACTGTATCTGCCGATGCCGGGGTTTGTCATAGTTACACTGACCACATTGCCTTGGAGGCTGGGGCTGTGCCGGGCTCCTGTGGGGGCCGTGCAGCATTCCAGCACTAAGAGCAGCCCGGTGTTTGTTTCTGACTGCAGATTGGCCCGCGCCGGATTCACACCGTGAGGGTTCGGGGCGGAAACAAGAAGTACCGAGCCCTTCGCTTGGATGTTGGCAACTTCTCCTGGGGCTCAGAATGTAAGTGTGTGCTGAGCCCGCTGTGTGGGAGGGAAACCTGTGCTGGTCTGTGGTACTGCTGCAGAGTGGAGGGATGCAAGCATGGGTTTGTGGGCTTAGATCGAGCATCCTGGAGCTGGCAGCTGATGCAGCATGCATGGTGATGATAACTTTGACCTTATGTGGCCTTAGGGGACTTGATTTCCACTACGTTCACAGTGATAGGAGTGTCATAGTTACACTGAGTGACATGCTTACCATAACTTTTTATGGGGGAGGGCAACTAAAAAGGGGCTGAAATCCTATATATGGGTAGTTCTTCAGAAACGCAAGTTTTGTTCCTCGGTGAATATGGTTACTAAGAGTTAAGTGATGTTGAGCAACAGAGAAAGGTACTCAGGATACTTGTGAGAAGGCCTGACCCTAGAACAGTGTTTGTTACATTAGCATGTGCAATTTAATATTTCTGCTTTGCTAAGCAAAAGTGGGAAGCCCAGAAGCAAGAGGGGGACTCTGTCATATTTTCCCTGAGCAAGGTGGGTTTTCTTTGCTTTACAAGCTGACAGCAGTATCACTTGAGCCTGAGCCCAGTCAGTGTTGAGTGCAGAGTAGGATGGTACAACAGCATTAAGGAGGGTGGTGGTTTAGGGACCTGCATGGTGTGGGGGGACAGACCATGCTTTCAGTTATCTCAGAGCATTGTCTGTGCAGTGAAAAGTGTCACTCCCATGTGCATTGCTCATGTGAAGAGGCTGAGTGCACCTTGCAGCATGGACAAGGTATGTGAGTGAAGGGGGAAAACCCGCCTTGTGCATGATCTTTGTGTATGTGCAGGGCTGTTTTCAGGGCAGGTGACTGCTAAACAGTCACATCTAGTAGCTAAGGCTGCATGATTCAGGTGGATCTTGGAAGGATGTAAACACCAGCTTTGCTTCTCAATTTACTCATAGACCATCATCCTGTAGAAATGGTTTCTGAGATGTGTTGCAGGGCAGTCCCACTCAGTATGGCTTAGTTTAATTCTAGCAAGTGCATACAGCATTGAATGCTGTGGGCAGTGTTAGTTGGCATCTGCTCATCTTGCTAGTCTGGAAAGTTACTTTCTAGGATTGCTTAGGTGCTTTAGAGATTAGTTCCAGCAAGGCTGCTGATTCCTGGTTTTTCATGTAGGAGGGATTTCATTTCCCGGCGTAGATTTCTGTCCTAAGAACAGAAAGTTTGACGGATGAAAAAGAGATGCATCTTCTAGTTAAATGTAATTCAGTGCCAGGCAGGCTGGAAGATACTGAATGGGGTGTTGCGTGCAAAGTTATTTCAAGGATATGTGTGAGATGCAGTGAGCTGCATACTCATCTGTCTGATCCCTGTAGGTCTGAACTCATGCTCTTCTCTTGAAAGGCTGCACTCGCAAGACCAGAATTATTGACGTTGTGTACAACGCTTCCAACAACGAGCTGGTGCGGACAAAGACGCTGGTGAAGAACTGCATCGTGCTCATCGACAGCACCCCGTACCGGCAGTGGTACGAGGCACACTATGCCCTGCCCCTGGGACGCAAGAAGGGCGCCAAGCTGGTACGCCTGGGCTTCTCCTTTGGGCTCCTGGCACTGCAGCCTGCCCTGCCAGAGGCACTCACCCATCCTGGACAGACACTGCCTGCCAGAATAGGGCTGGGTACCCAGCAGTGCTTATCTGAGTTGTGTTCCCATAGGTTCCCAGGATAAGTCTGGCTCTCTTAATGGAGTGCTCAGTAGCAGGAGCTCTCCTGGAAGCATTACACCCATTTGTGCACAAGGACCTGACTGTCAAGATCTTTGTCTTCTAATGATGATACCTTTGTCCAGTTCTGCTACTGAAGGGAGAGCGATGACAATTTAGGATGCTGAGGAAGACTTTGTAGGTTGGGTTCTTGTGCTGGGCAGTGATTGCTTTGGTGAGAAGCTTGGGGATTGCTAATTGAACTTCAGCCTGTTTTTAAGTGTCTTGAAACTACACTGAGCCATTAGTCTAAGAATCAAACCCTAGACTGCTAGAAGGTATTTAAAACCCCACATGTAGCATTCAGATTAATCTTTGCTTTAAAAGCAAAGCAGTTCTCATTTGGGTGCTGTGTAGTGCAGAAGCAGGGGGAGAGCTCGTCTGCCTGGACTTGCACCACACCCAAGTGCTTTCATTATTTCTGCAGAGGGAAAGAGTATTCACTGCTTTTTGTAGGAGTGGTTCACCAGGGAAACCTTTGCAGTTTCACTGACTTGAGAACAGCCTTCCCTAGGGCAATGTGCTCATTTGTCAGCAGTGACTCTGGTTAGCAATGTTGAATTTCTTGGTCTCAAAAGTGAAATGCAGAACCTGGTTCTGTGAGATCAAAGTATTTGTACCTCAGCCAGGTATGATTTTAAAAAGAGTACGGTGTTGAGAATACAAGGGCTTCCTTCATGGTAGTGGAAAACATCTGTGTTAGTGGAACATGGCTATTTGTTAAACCATTTCTTTTACTTTTGGTCTTGGGTTTAGACTCCTGAAGAGGAGGAAATACTGAACAAGAAGCGTTCAAAGAAGATCCAGAAAAAATATGATGAGCGAAAGAAGAATGCCAAGATAGCAAGTATTCTTGAGGAGCAGTTCCAGCAAGGAAAGCTACTTGGTGAGTCCCTGGCAGCATTAATGTAGCTTGTTCTTTTATCTTCTCCAGAGATACCCCACTTATGGCAGGATGGGGAAGTCTGGCTAGCCAGGCTTCTGCAGTTGGTTATTCCTGTTGGGGCTTTGAGAAAGAAAGGGGCTCAAGACTAGCAAAATGAGCAAGTGTGTGTCAGAAAAATGTGCCACAGGCATCTGAGAGCTTTGATGTTTCAAGCTCTGGCAAACATTTGAGTGTTCTGAAGTCTTCTGGTGATGAGACCTTTGTCCAGTTCTGCTGCTGAACCCGAGCGATGACAGTTTGGAGATCTGAGGAGGACTTCACTAGGGACTGCAGCTTCCCAAGCACGGTACCCCAGGCAGAGGTGCTGCCCAGGCACACGGCCTGGTGACCCAGTGCCTGCTGAGCTGCTCCTCCGTGCTGCTGCAGGGAGGCTGCGTGCAGGGTGTGTTCTTTGGGGTGTGCCCTGGGTGGGGAATTGCCACACTTTATTAACTGCGTGACTTCTCCTTGCAGCCTGCATTGCCTCCAGACCTGGACAGTGTGGCCGAGCCGATGGCTACGTGTTGGAAGGCAAGGAATTAGAGTTCTACTTGAGGAAGATCAAGGCCAGAAAAGGCAAATGAATATAAAAGTATTGTGCTAAGAGAACGAATAAACCAAAAGTCTTCTACCCTAGCAGGTTCTGTGCTCATTTGTGTATGCAGTATAGAGAGGGCTTCTGTAGCTCCATCTGCCTAGTAAAATGTGAAGGAAGATGGAACTCTTGGAATCCCTGAGCCCTTTAACATCTTCAGGCAACACTTGACCCTGCATGTGCTCAACTAAAACATCTCTGTGGGTTCTAAGTGACTTGCAGGACCAAGTGTGTGTGAAAAAGAGTTATCAGATTTCGCAGAAGTGGGGAATGTCCAGTATTGGAAACCTGTGAGCAGGAGGTGGGTGCAAGTGTGCACTCTCATTGAAAGTTCTGGGTTCCTAGGAGCTCCTGAGGTCTGTGCACACTTTCTCCCTGTTCCGTGTTAGATCAGCATGTGCTGCACTTGGGGTGTTGGAGAGGTCAGTGGGGAAATGGGCTAGGTCTGGCTAAAAACTTGGCTGTTAAACCTTCAGCCTCTGCAGCTGGTAACTCTGCCTTCCACATTACGTGAGCTCCCATCCCCTGGTTCAAGCCAGCAGCTCCTTTTGATGTTTCCTGCCTGGTGGTACAATTCCCTGCAGGACCCAGGACCTTTTAACCAAACTAGGTAGCACTGCTCACTGACCAGCTGGTCTTTCCCTGATGACCTCCTTGGTCTCACTCCAGTGCAAGATCAATTCCTTCTAGCAGAAGGGCCAGGCTCACATCATGGTCTGTCCCTTTCGAAAGCTGGATACAAACTCCAGCTTTGTGCCCTGTCACTTGGGTGGAATTGGAAAGCTGTGGTGAACAAAAGCTTTTCTGGGTGTTTTGGTGAAATCTTTCCTAAAGGCTCCTGTCCTTAAGGAAAGTAAATCTCTGAAAATAGTTGCTCTTTGTGCAGGTATTGGGGGAAGTCAGGAGCCCATCTGAGGGCTGGTCCTGTGCCATGGGGCAGGCCAGGCTCACACACTTTGTGCCTGTCCGGTGCACACACTGCACACTTAATCCCATTTATGTATTTTCACAAAAGCCTTGTTTATCCATTGGATCACTGGTGCAAATCAGGCTTCCTGCAGCCCCAGCATCACAATTACTACCTCTGAACTGAAGGGAGGTGGTCCATGATCATTTTGCCCCACGGAGAGTTGTGGTGAGACCTAAGTCTCATGCTTCAAAAATGCAACTCTGTCCCGCCAAATAGTTTTGGGGGAAGGAGTTTAATTTTTTTTTTCCTGTGATGCTGTGCCTTGTTTGCAAAGTGTAACTCGGGAGGTGCCCTGGGCAAGTGCCTGGGGAGTGTGGGTTCGTGCTGTGCTGCTGGCCGGGAGGTGAGCATGAGTCAGTACCAGAGCTGAGCATTGCAGAACGGTGGTACCTGTTCTGATGGCTGTGGTTGTGCACTGGCAGCCCTTCACAGACTGGGTCAGTGCCCGTGGGCACTGTGAGCAGAGCTGAGCCCAGCTGGTGCCCCTGCAGTCCAGGAGTCCCTGGCAGTGGGACCTGGGCTGGGTGGGATGTTTTCACAAGCACATTCCTTCTCCATAGTGATCCGGTGTAAACTTTCCCTGCCTTCCAGAGAGGTGGGGTGGAGGCGATAAGGGCACTTGGCAGGGCTGTGTCACAGCCACTTCCTACGAGTGTTTCTTCTCTCCCGTCAGCCTCCACAGAGTGCAAACAGCACTCAGGCTGTTTCTGGGGAACTTTGTGCCGATGGAGAAACTCAGCTTTATGGAGCAAATGCCGGCCTGGTGTCAGAGCAGGATTATAAACCTGTACCCTGATGAACAGGATTATGGCTCATCAGTGTGTGCTGTTTACAGAGTTACTACTCTGAGAAACATAGCTGCCAAGGGCAACTGCCCATGGGAGCAAAAGTGGCACCCGGAGCTGCACTGGAGGTGTGACATAGGAACAGCAGTGGCAGCTGGCTGGGTGTGTGGCACTTCACTCCCAAAGTGGTGCAGGCTGTGGGATGTCTGCTCCTTGCTGTTGAGTGGCTCTCTCAGCTTCACACAGTATTAACTTCGGGGTATTTTCACAGGACATGATCCAACCCAGGAAATGACCTTGTGGTTACACTTCAATAGGTCCAGCAGTGACCTGGAAGGCAATGGAGGAGAAGCAGGGCTGGCTTGTTGAGGGAATTTGGGAGCTTTGGAGGAAGGGCAACTTGCAGGAAAGGGAACTTTTAAACTAATATTCTTAGGGGGAACGTGTCTGAGTGTGTCAGGGCTGTCACAAACAGAACACTGGGTTTGGTCACACCTCCCTGCCACCTGTCAGAAATTTGGGCAGGGACTGCAGGTACCAGAGCAAGGGCTGAACAAGACCCAGTGGGATGATTTGAGTCACTCCCTTTGCATCAGCCATGGCATCTGAATTTAGGCTTCGTGAGAAAGAGGGAAAGGACAGGATGTTACATCATTCCCAGCAGCCCTGGGAACGGGACCCCAGGGTACATGAGCAGAGGGGGCACCCATGAAGGGCTGCAGGCATTTCTAAGAGCACAGGTGAAAAATGCAGCTGTTGTTAGCCCTAGTCAAAACCTGCAGCCATGGGATGTGCTGCAGCCCCTGAAGACAGCTGCCAACCCAGCCTGTTCTGCTGGAGTCCTGTGGCAGCTTCTGATCCCTCTGTCCCTGTGGGGGTGGCATGAGCCAGGGTACACTGCAGTACTTGGCAGAGAGTGATGGAGGGATATTAAAAGCTGGGATACTTTCCCAGGACCCAGGAGGGAGCAGGGAAGGAAGAAGTCCAGCTGGATATAAAACAGGGAAACATCCATGAGTGGCAGGGGACATGAAGGAAAATCATCCCATCCTTGTCCCCAGGCCATGTGGGGCTGGTGCTGAGCAGTCCCTCTATGGGCTGCTGGAAGCCCCACAGCACAGCACTCTGCAGGAAACACCACTTCCTCTGCCGGCCGGAGCGCCGCGTCCTGCCCTGCCCAGCTCCCTCCCTTCCTGCCTGGGCACCGGGCCCAGCGCAGCTCCACAGCACACAGGGTGGCCAATGCAGCTTCCAGCCTGGACAATGTCCCCCCGGGCAGGAGGAGCAGCACTCGAGGGTGGCCCCCCATGTGCAGAGAAGGGCTGGAGCACCTTGGGTGAGACTTGCTGGGAGTGCCTGTATTGAGCAGTGATTCACAGCACCCCCAGCCTTTGCCCTGCTCCCAGGAGCCCCACAAATTCTTGCTTTGTTCAGGATCTGTGGCATTTACAGCAGGCTGACACCTTCCCCACCCTTGTTGTAAATCCTGATACAAAGCAAAGGCTCTGCTGGCGTTTAGCCAGTGCCCAGCTCTGCTCTGCCAGAGCAACAAAGAGGCTCCAGGGATGCTGGGCAAGACCCTGGGCCATCACCCAGGGCAGGGAAGGGTAGATGGGGTAGGAGTGAAGTCCACCATCCCTGCACTCCCTACATCCCACTTGTTGGCTCCCCAGTACCCCAAAGCACAAAGGGAAGGAGCCACAGTGCCAGGAGTAAAATGATATATTTCTTACTGAGAGCTGGGTCCTACAGGGCTGTCTGCAAAGGGCCCCCTCTGATGCCGCCCTGTTTGTGTGTGCACGTCACACACACTCCCACAAGTGTGCACACACACACCCCATGAAGCACCACGCATGCATTGACTGTTTCAAGTCCCTGTGCCACTGTGGGGTGTGGGGTGGACAGCAGGCAGAGCCACCACAGGCTTCCCCTGACAGGCCCAGGGCACCCCATCCAAATGGGACACTCCCTGCAGACAACACAGGCAGGGCCAGCCCTGTTTCATGTCTCCAGACCATGTTCCCTGCAGGTTGGAGAGCAGCAGGTCTGTGCCAGACACCATCTGGCTCCAGCAGGAGAGGAAGCTCTGGTCCGTGGGTCTGGCACCCACAACATCATCGCTTGATCCCCAAAACCAGCCCCCACCTTCTCTGCACATCCTTCCTCAGGCACCACCAGCCTGTTCGAGGGTCCCCAGAGCCTGAAGCAGCCTTGCAGCACATGGCAAGCCAGGGGTTCACATGGTAGCACAGGGCAAGGGATGGGTATTTGCAGTACAGCTTTGCAAACAGCCACTGTCAGCCATGGCGGGACAACTCGTGCCTCTCCTGCTCCGGTGGCTTTCACTGCTGCCCAGCCCCTGCCATCCTGCTGTGTGTCCAGACACAGCCCAAGTCCTGGCATCAGTGCAGGTCAATGGTCTCATACTCCAGGTTGTCTGAGTCCTCCAGCTCGATGCCAGGTACCAGGTTGTAGTAGCTGGTTGTCTGGCTCATGTAGATCTTCTCCCGGTCGGCAGAGTCCTTCAGCACTTCGCTCACGCTGACAGTGTCCCCCTCTGGCTCCCTGCCCAGCTCCTCTGTCCTTGCTGCTGGGGTGCCCAGCTGCCCCTCATGGGATGGCACCTGGGAACTGCTGGGGGATCCCACCTGGATCTCCACCTCCTCATAGAGGTCCCTGCCGCTCTCCAGTGGATCCACAAAGGGCTGGAGCACGGCTTGTTTCCCCAGCAGCACTTTCTTCTCAGCCTTGGAGGGAGCAGCAGGCAGCTCGTAGGGGACATAGTGGTGGGGCTCTGCAGACAGTGGCACATTGCCCCTCTCTGCCACGGCCCGCTGGCTCTGGGACCTGCTCTGAAGGCTGTAGTTGGTCTTTTTCTTCTGCCGGCAGAAGCACCAAGTGACGCTGGCGAGGATGAGGAGGGGG